TATATAAGTATTTTAAATGCTTTTTACATATGTTGTAGATATTGCAAAAGTCAAGAGAAAATTCAGAGATTTTTATTCAGTTCACTCCCGGTCGTGTGTTTTCCTTTCTGAAAATTAGAATTTGTTCTCACAATTGTTCGACAACAGTAATAGACTGAAGTCTAAAACTTTCAGGACTGATAGTCAGTCATCAGTTCATTTGCATCTTGTAAAACTTGTGTGTCGTCATTACTTCCGGTCGTGACAGGAAACCAAGCAAAAAAGAATTTTTCTTAAGTTATTTTGTTTCTGCATAAGTTTTAGGCTAATACCGACGTTGGAAAAGACTTGTTGATGCAAACAGGAAGTAGTATAACGGAAGACCTGCTCATTACTAGTAATGAGTTTCTAGTTATTATTATTTTTTTTCCCCTTTTCTTTTCGGACGATTTCTCAGAGATGGCTGGACGGATTTTCTTGAAATTTTCAGGGATAATAGCGAATGAAAATTCCTACAAATGTATCTTTCATTTTTTTCGAAATTCACTTCCGGTCGTCAGATATGTCCGATTTCCGTTTTTTTCAGAAATATTTTGTCCCAGTCATACCTCAGAAACGGTAAGAGATAAAGACACCAAACTTATATGAGTAATAGATCTTGAGGAGTAGGCAAATCCATTTGGGTTAAGAGCGTCAGCCGTCACTTCCGGTCGTCACAGGAAGTGATCAAAGAAATCGAAATTTTCAACTTTTCTCTTTTGATTTTTTTCTTTCATCACATTGTTGCATCTTTTTTGTAGATTCGAAATATGTTGGTCCTACCGGAAACAAAAACGTCAACTTCCGGTTATAAGCGAAAAACTGCATAATTTGAGTATTTTACTTTCCCATAAATATTTTTTATAGATAAAGTATTTGAACTGATTTTTGAATATGTTATCAAGACTGCAAATGTCTAGAGTACCGTCAAATATCTTTGTAAAATTTACTTCCGGTCGCGCGATTAAATGTCCGCAAAATGAAAACTTTTCAGAGTGAGATCTCAGAAACTGTAAGAGATTTAGACACCAAACTTACAGGAGTATTAGATCTTGAGGAGTAGACAAATCCGTTTGGGTTAAAAGCGTCAGTCGTCAATTCCGGTCGTCACGGGAAGTGATCAAAGAAATCAAAAATTTCAACTTTTCTCTTTTTGAATAAGACTTGCATCATATAATTGTATCTTTTTCACAGTTACGATATGTGTTGGTCTCACCAGAAACAAAAAACGACAACTTCCGGTTATTAGAGAAAAACTACATAATAGGGTTTTTAATTTTCCCATACATATCGCCTATAGATAGAGTTCCTTAAATGATTTTTATATATGTTATTGATACTGCAGATGTCTAGAGTGACGTGAAATATCTTAGTAAAATTCACTTCTGGTCGCGTGTTTTCTTGTCCTCAAAATGAAAAGTTATTTCAGAGAGATCTCGGAAACGGCATGAGATTAAGACACTAAACTTATAGGAGTAATAAACCTTGGTGAGTGGGCAACATATATGGGGTTAAACGCGTAAGCTGTCACGTCCGGTCGTCACAGGAAGTGATCAAAGAAATCAAAAATTTAACGTTTATTTTTAAAATTAAAACTTGCATCACTTTATTGCTTCTCTTTCGCTGTTTTGAAATATGTTAGATTCTACTGGAAACAAAAACTTTAAACTTCCGGTCTTAAGAGATAAACTACGTTATTTCGTGGTTTAACTTTCTCATAAATATCACTTATAGATAAGTAATTGAAATGTTTTTTCTTACATATGTTGTAAATACTGCAAAAGTCAAGAGAAAATTCAGAGATTTTTATTCAGTTCACGTCGGTCGTGTGTTTTCCTGTCCTCAAAATTATAATTTGTTCTCACAATTGTTCGGCAACAATAATAGACTGAAGTCTAAAAATTTTAGGACTTATAGTCAGTCATCAGTTCATTTGCTTCGTGTAAAAATCGTGTGTCGTCATCACTTCCGGTCGTGACAGGAAACGAAGCAAAAAAGTAATTTTTTAAGTTATTTTGTTTCTACATAAGTTTTAGGCTAATACCGAGGTTGAAAAAGACATGTTGGTGCAAACAGGAAGTAGTATAACGGAAGACCTTCTCATTACTAGTAATGAGTTTCTAGTTATTATTATTTTTGTTCCTTTCTTGTTTTCACGATTTCTCAGAGATGGCTGGACGGATTTTCTTGAAATTTTCAGGGATAATAGAGAATGAAAATACCTACAAATGTATTCTTTCATTTTTTTTTCAAAATTCACTTCCGGTCGTCAGATATGTCCGATTTCCGTTTTTTTCAGAAATATTTTGTCCGAGTCATATCTCAGAAACGGTAAGAGATTAAGACACCAAACTTATATGAGTAATAGATCTTGAGGAGTAGGCAAATCCATTTGGGTTAAGAGCGTCAGCCGTCACTTCCGGTCGTCACAGCTTCTTTCATCACATTGTTGCATCTTATTTGTAGATTCGAAATATGTTGGTCTCACCGGAAACAAAAACGTCAACTTCCGACTATAAGCGAAAAACTGCATAATTTGAGTATTTTACTTTCCCATAAATATATTTTATAGATAATGTATTTGAACTGATTTTTAAATATGTTATTAGGACTGCAAATGTCTAGTATAACGCCAAATATCTTTGTAAAATTCACTTCCGGTCGCGCGTTTAAATGTCCGCAAAATGAGAACTTGTCCGAGTGATATCTCAGAAACGGTAAGAGATTTAGACACCAAACTTATAGGAGTATTAGACCTTGAGAAGTAGACAAAACCATTTGGGTTAAGAGCGTCAGTCGTCACTTCCGGTCGTCACAGGAAGTGATCAAAGAAATAAAAAAATTCAACTTTTCTCTTTTGGAATAAGACTTGCATCATATAATTGTATCTTTTTCACAGTTACGATATGTGTTGGTCCCACCGGAAACAAAAAACGACAACTTCCGGTTTTAAGAGAAAAACTACATAATAGGGGTTTTGAATTTTCCCCAACATATCGCTTATAGATAGAGTTCTTTAAATGATTTTTATATATGTTATTGAGACTGCAGTTGTCTAGAGTGACGTGAAATATCTTAGTAAAATTCACTTCCGGTCGCGTGTTTTCTTGTCCACAAAATGAAAAGTTATTTCAGCGAGATCTCGGAAACAACTTGTAGGAGTAATAAAACTTCGTGAGAAAACAAAACACCTAAGGTTAAAAGCGTCAGCCGTCATTTCCGGTCATCACAGGAAGTGATCGAAGAAATCGAAAATTTCAACTTTTCTTTTTAAAATTAAAACTTTCATCACTTTATTGCTTCCCTTTTGCTGTTTTAAAATATGTTAAATTCCACCGGAAAAAAAACTCTAAACTTCGTGGTTTAACTTTCTCATAAATATCACTTATAGATAAGTAATTGAAATGTTTTTTCTTACATATGCTGTAGATACTGCAAAAGTCAAGAGAAAATTCAGAGATTTTTATTCAGTTCACTTCCGGTCGTGTGTTTTCCTGTCCTCAAAATTAGAATTTGTTCTCACGATTGTTCGGCAACAGTAAAAGACTGAAGTCTAAAACTTTCAGGACTATAGTCAGTCATCAGTTCATTTGCTTCGTGTAAAAATCGTGTGTCGTCATCACTTCCGGTCGTGACAGGAAACGAAGCAAAAAAGTATTTTTTTAAGTTATTTTGTTTCTACATAAGTTTTAGGCTAATACTGACGTTGGAAAAGACATGTTGATGCAAACAGGAAGTAGTATAACGGAAGACCTTCTCATTACTAGTAATGAGTTTCTAGTTATTATTATTATTTGATTTTTGAGAATGGCACGTATCCACCTTTAAACTGAGAGAAATGTAATACACATGTACATTCGAACATTGTACATCTACATGTACTTATAAATATAGATAAGGTACTTGTTACGAACATTTTTTCACAATGAAAGCTCACACAGTTATAAAACTGTTATATTACGTTATGATAGATTTAAAAGTATTATAACTAACCCTTTTTCGAAGAGTCCTTCAAGATGATAATTGATGATAAGAAACAGTCAGATAACAGTTAGCCAATTACAGGTTATATTGTTTAATATTCTGTCTGGAAACATTATATAAATGACACAGAAAAAGATGTATACCCAAGTTATCTTTTAAAATAAAGTACTAATTCGCTAATAGATAAAATTAATCTTAGATTTGCATGTATTTAGGATTAGAAAATCATTTTGCAAGCAATTCTACTCATTTAACAGTTAAGTACATTAAAAGTCATTGTAAAATTTGTCTGATTTATCTGAAAAGTATCGTTATCAATATCTTACAGAAAATGCAAATGAACACATCAGATGTACACTGTGACAAAATGAAAATAGCTAAAGGTCATCGATCTCATAAAAATATGCATGCAAATATTTGTGAACAGGGTATAAAACACGGATCCCTAGAAATTCCAGAGGAGGGATGAGGTTCCTAGGAGGAGTACGCATCCCATCTTGACCGGTCACATCCACCGTGCACAGTTCAAATGTATGAATCTAGCCTATTTAGAAAAAAAATGTCTTTAGCCTCAGTATATACTCTAATGACGTAACTCCCACTAACGTGGGAAGAATTACCCAAAAAATACAAAAATCACAGAAGCTTAGACATATGATGGTATTGTTGTCCTACAAGTGATAGATCTCCTTCAGTGATTTTTTTTAAACTTGAAATTGCTTGTAGCCCTCTTTTTCGAACAATCGTTTGAGGCGTCTTAATATCTATTTCATCTTTTTAAAAGGGTTTTTTCGCACCTCGAATTCAATTTAATTTGAACACTTTTAAAAGAAAAAGGGGATATTTAAGCGTGTATGAGAATAAATATTTATTCTAATTCATCCAGAGTCATTTTTGGTGATTTATAATGTTGTCATCATATCATCCCGGACCTCTTGGCGTCTTTAAAAAAAGAAGAGTAAGTATCATTTACCAAGTTTGTTATGTAATGTTTTTTATCAGTCTGTATACAACTATATACAATAAACACAATTCAACTATAAATTTTCAAGCTGTATATTTTTTTGTGTCGTTGTTCCTTACTTCAAAAAGCATTTTTGATAAATTGTCAAGACACACAATAGAATCAAGGAAATTATAGCGATTACAATCAACGCATAAATGATGTAATGTATTATTGAATTTCCAGCAAATATTTCCTCTTCAACAATTAGCGATGTCGTTGTTGTCACGGCTGAACTAACTTCCCGTGTCATAGATTTTGAAGCTTCTCCAAAGTTTCTTAAAGTGTCGATCTTCTCTGCTGTAATCAATAAAATGCATTTAATTATGATTGTTGCGCAGAAAAGCCTTTCTAGCGTCTAAATGCTTTCTATAACATATTATTGTTGCCTATTGTTTTGAAAATGAGTTATGTTTAATATATGATTCTTCAATATCCTTAAAAATATACAATGGAATGCAAACGATCAGAAATAAAATCTCAATAAATTTTCATGTTTTTCTTTTTAATTGTTAGACTGCCTTAGTACTCATAGAGACTTAAAGACATGTACGTGAATTCCGAATTGGGACTATCTCTGACAAATGGAACAAAGGAACGAAAAAATGTACTGCTACCCGGGCAATATTTAACTCCCTTGTTGTTCAGTGCGCTGTCTATTGAAATGTGAACTTGACGGACACATGTTCGAGTCATGGGTAACAAAACTATAAAGCTTTGAAGTATCGCAGTCCTTATCCTTTGCATACAACCGTGCCTGAAGGAATTGATTACCAAGAAATAAGCAAAATAGCTCTATTTTGACGCAGGAATTTGATTTTAAATTTCTTACCCAACGTTTCCAAATAATTATAACATCCTACAAATCAAATGATTATGAAAATATTCATACGAGTTTGACTTTTTTATATCTCTTAATTTTACGTCGTTTTTGTTAGATTGGTGTTTTGCTTTTAATTTAGAGGACGTGCTTGTTTACTTATAACTATGTATCTTTTAGGATACATACAAATTAAGCCCTTTTTTATCTGCAAAAACGTATAGAGTGTATCTGTCATGGAACTGTTGAGTTTTTCTAATCGTATCTCAAAAATAAAGCTGAGTATACTCTTATCAAAACTTACTTGTTTGTGGACATCCCTTTGCAAAGTGACAAGAAGTGTTATCACAGGAACAGTGTTGTTGACAGTTGTCACCAAAGCTAGGATACAAACATTTATCCGTACAATTTAGACCAAAATAGCCAGTTGAGCAATCTAAGGAAAAAAGTACACATTTTAATTATATGTAGATGTATATATTTAACACACACACACACACACACACACTAGATATCATGTACTAATGATAATATTTCAGTGTATGCATAAAAAAAGATAATTTACATAATCAGATATTAGGAAAACCAATGCATTTGATCGTAGCAATTTAATTTTATGAAAATAACAAGCTATGTTAAAATGAACCGTGTGTTATTTCAATTAAACCTATCATATGAACGTGGTTTTAATATGTATTTCATGGTCATCATTGAATTTCATTGATCAAACCTCAGGAAGACTTTGCGCTTTGTGATATTTATAAGTTCAATCATTATCATCATTAATCCTGATATATTACGTAAAATTAAGGATTCTTGATTACCTCTAGCAAGAGGTATATACCTTACCAATAGACTGTGTTTAACAGCAAACAAAATTTTTGAAACAGTTTATGGACATTGTATTCTTAATTATTCAACCAAAACCACCTAACACAACCCTGTGGCATCATCTTAGGAAGTGAGAATCAAATATGATGGTGGATTATTTATACCTTAATAATTATAAGCAATAGAATCGTCAAAATATAACAATAATGTTACTTACTTTCGCATCTATTCAGTGCACTATTTAAAATGGTACCTGCACAACAACCACGACTTCCATCTATCCTAAATTTTCAAAAAGTTGCATAGGTTTAATGTAGTAAATATCTTACTGCTCAATACAATTGCTTTTCCTTCATTTAATCAATCCATACCGTGTACATAGAACATCTCGACCCGTCGTAAATTCCTTGATCCCAAACAAGAGCAATATAATTATCCTTTTCATTGCGTGATTACTAAAGAAAACTAGAGTAAACTATGTGCTTTCTAAATATCACCCAAAATGGAAAGAAACTCCAAAAAAAAAAAATAAATAAATAAATAAATAAAATAAAATAAAATAAAATATGATATAATATAATTTGATGAAGACTTTCCTGTTCTAATTATAGCATGCAAATATTATACTTTTAGATTTTAACACACTCAGCATATTAAATTGCACTTATATCCTGGAAATAAAACAAAAACAGAATGATATTACTTCCTCATAACTTATATGGACTCCATTCCAGTTGTTATTTAAATGTTTTACACAGCTTTTCTTCTAGGAACAATGCAATTGTTTATGCGCAAACGGGACGTTATTGTTTTCGAATTATTTTTGATGCAATTTCGATGTTCTATAAATGCATTACTGAATTAAATTAGTTTAACATGAAGATTTATTTATTTAGAAAATTATTTATAAAATTATTTATTTAGAAAAATCTAACCTATTCTATCTTGATCATAGGCCCAGGGCATGATATAGGCCATAAGAGGTGATAGGTCTAAACAATGGGAAAGTCAGAAAATCAAATTATCTGAAGTTACAGAAAATTAATATGTTTGCATGTTGAAGTAGAAAACTTGACATAAAAGGATATTTCTCATTAAGTTTTCCTGAGCTAAGGTATGAACACCTGGTGTACAAATAAAGTCCAATCCGTTAATGACGTAGGCCTAGCGTACAATAAGGGTAAAAAAATTAAAATTATGTCGGATATATTCTATTCAGCATCAATAATCACATATAAAAGACACTATTAATTACGCGAACATTAAGGATGGATCAATTAATGACCATTAAGGTACATGTAGGGTGGACCACGGAAAAAAGTTATTTTCATCTTAATGTTTTAACTAATCTACACAAAATCTGTTTGCTAGAAATATTTCCGTACAGTTTATGTGATTTTTTTCGTATCCAAAGATAGTTTCCATTGTCTAGAGAGGGGCCAACTAGGTGTGACAATTAAACATGATAATTAAAGGACCAGGATAGGATTTCATGTTTTGAAGGAAAATAGATTTTAGGGATAGTGAGATATTCTGTTGATATAGGGATAGTGAGATATTCTGTCGATAGTTTACGTTAGTTGATATGTTTCTAGTTTCAACAGGCATTTTAACCCCCCCCCTCTTTTTTTGCAAATAGTTATCTGAGTTAAACAAAATGTAAAAGGTGAAGATAACGAACATTAATCAATCACAGAATTTTTATCCAGTATAAAATACAAGTTATGAGCAGGGCAAAACATGGATCCCTCGAAACACAAGGTGTGGGATGAGATGCCTAGGAGGAGAATGCATCAATATCAACCTGTAACACCCGCCATGAGCCCTCTGTATTGATCAGGTAAACATTCGTAGTCAAAAAGGTATGAAAACAATGGCCTTACAAGTGGTGGGGAAATTGTATGTCTAAAAACAGTAAAAAGGATATATTGTATGTACAAAAAAGGTCAGTATAACCACAATGGAATTTGCGAAACGCTGTCTTTACACGAAGCTATTTAAAATCCTGTAACATCAACTAATTTGTCTGTAGCCTGCCGCTGTTTAATAATTTGATCGTACTCGTGCTCTCGAGTGTCGAATCAGTTAGGGGACATAAACAACATATGCTTGAGATTCTAGATTTTTACTAGTACATAATAAGGGAAATCTGACAATGAAATAAACTATAATTAGTAAAATATCCAAGTATTTCTGTGGCTAACTCAGTGTTGTCCTGTATTACATGTTCACTGGGATATATCGAGTTGACATTTGAATGAAAATAACTTTTGTTTTTGATCAAACGTAGTCGATATATCGAAATGTTGAATAAAGTTACCACAAAAGTTTTCTTTTCATGTAGAAGTTCCTGAATAAATTTTGCTTTATATAGGTCGGCTGATAAAGGAGCACAATTAGTGTCCATCGAAACATATTGATGGAAGACCTGTCATCCAAAGTTCATATAGATTTACTTACAACATACACAATTTAGGAGAAATATTGCTGACTCGTAATACTCAATCAATCATAAATTTCGGAAATATGTTTTTATCATTTCTTTAGTTTGATCTTTTGTAAGCAATAATCATGAATGGATCTTTGTTGAAATCACCAAAACAATTTGCAAAATCTGAAAATGTATATGACTTTAATTTATCTTAAATGAGTATAATTTACATTGCTCTTGCAAAAACATATTAAATACATGCATACAAGGCGGTCATAAAAAACCGTAGACTTTTGTCATATCTTTTTAACGTCATATTATAACCGCATTTGGTTGACAAACTTTAACTATAAATTAAAGTAAATTGAATGAAAAAAATACAGTTCCGTGTATAATAATTTATTTCAAAGTTATGTAAAATTTAAGACTGCAAAAATTAGGGCCACTAATTACGGTCCATATGTTTTGGAAGTTCGTGTTTGCTCTGCTACTGATTTGTATAGTTTGAATGGACTTATGAGCTTGAATACTTTTCGTTATCTCCGTATTTCATAATTACAATACACCTAATGATGTTTCTAATTAATACAGTGTTTCGTTAAAGAGAGATCAATTTCAAGACAGAAAGTCTGCTTTGAAAAAAAAGCAAGAGAAAGATGACTTTGAAGGTCTTAAATGAAAATGCTTAAGGGACCAGAAAAGAACTATATACGGTAAGGGCGTATTCCTGCCCCCATAATAGTCAAATTTTGAAAATCTCTTGAAATGAGAAAAAGTGTATGTATTGTACAAAATAATCCAAATGAAGACAATATATAATGAAATTAGAAAAATTAGTTGGCTTTTCTTGTCTCTGTGACGTCACAAACTATTTGGATTTCCGTTATTTTTTAAATAGAGGCCAAAATGCACAGAGTTTGTTCAATTTTGACTATAGTATTTATAGAGCGCAAGCTTGCTCAGGTACCATATTTACATATTTCATTAATATTATCATTCTACACATTATATCAAAAGATCTAGTCTGAGCAGACCTGCGCTCGATAATTTCTAATCAAAATACCGACGTAAAATACACTATTTTCTCTCAAAATCATTGCAATTTGGAATTTACGTCATTTTATTGACGTCATATCTAACTAATGATGTCATAGTTGATAAAAATATTTAATGCTTTGAAGTCTGCAAATATCCACCTGGTTTAGAACATAATTAAAGATTTCTCCATCAAAGTTTTATTTTGGGGGCAGATACTGGCCACTACAGAATATAGTCCTTTATCAGAAGTGAGTCGTGCATTTGTAAATAAATGGTCAATACAGTTTTAGACTGGTAAAGACAAGCATCGGACGATGGATGTCTGTGAGAAAATAGATTATCATTAAAAATCTGTTAAAAAAAATTAGTAACGTCATGGAAATACTGTTTCACTGTTGTAGAACTTGTAAAAGCAGAGGTACGCGGTATAGAATTTGAAAACTTTGACAAACTAACTAACTTATGCCACTCGAACAATTGTTGACTACGAGACTACGTGTCAAGTGTTACGGAGACGTTTTAAATGAGTTGGTAAGGCGCTGTAGACCCTGTAAGAAATGGTGAGGGAGGGCAATTTTGAGTAACTACTTTTACGACGTTGATTTTGACGTTACAATGTTGTTAAGGGTGCTTCGTGATGACAATGCATTTACTTTAAAATTAAATAACTTGAGTTCCATTTATTTAATGGAATGAAACTTAACACATCGACAAAATAAATGTTTTAAATTTGAAAATGTTTTGATCATCTTGTAAAAATAATATAATGGCATTGTCTATTACACAGTATTTTTTTTTATTGACACACATATATCCTGCTATCCAGAACTGAAGTTTAATTGACCTTCCTTTTGCAATTGAGCTACCCACCTAGTCATCCCCCACCCTAAAAATATTAATATTAGTGGAAGAATACCTCAAAAATTATAATTATCTTGATAGAACATATTGAATTTTGATGTTGGCACAATGAACTATAACTTTGTAAATTGCTATCGATACTAAGTAATAAATATTGAATGGAAATGCAAATTTACTTTTAAGATTCTTGACTAAGAAAAAATTAAAATGGAAACTTTGAATTAGATAAGTAAAGGAGCTTAGGGCTAGAATTTCTGAGGTGCTGAGATGGGGACTTAGCCCATCAATAATACAATCATGGATATGCCTCGATCGAGGATGGTGCCATGTTTGAGTTCATTGGTAAAAAGACAGATTTAAAACTACTGACAAAGCATGGGTGGTAGGGTAACTGTAAGACAGCCAATACAATGTCCATTATATCCTGGACTATTAATACCCTCGGAGTATAAAATAAACTGTTTGCCGGAAAGGGCTTCTTGGTTTACGTTTTTTTTTTTTTTTTTTTTTTTTTTTTTTTTTTTTTTTTTTTGTTTTTTTTTTTTTTTTTTTTTTTTGTTTAATACATTTTTTAACTCTTTTTTGATTCTAGCTCTAAGCTTTTGAATATTTTGGACTTTTGACAATTTCGGATTTATTTTAAAAACTGTTGTATAGACAAATTGTGTTGTTCTCTTTTGATGTCATTCCATGAATAAAATGAAAAACTCTTTACGATCAGGGTGAATTAATATTTTTGAAAAAAAAAAGATACGAAATCTTGTTATCAGCTAACATAAGGTATACGCTATCACTGTATTTAGATTGTCGTCAAGCTATCCTGGAAAAGAAAATAGTTCATTTGGAAAATAAATCAGCACTTGAAAAAGCAAGAAAACTTTTTTCTCATTTTATTTCATTATCGTAATTGTGTATAGCATGTTTCATTATAACCAGATAGCACACAAGATAGGCCTGTTCAAATTCTGTTTACAATGATTCTCTTGTAAAACTTGTTTGCTAGCCTGTTTCCTGGACAAATGTATGATTCAATTTTTTCTTCAATACATTGAGGAAGACAAACTCCCAAAGTGGAAGGTAATATCAGTCTAGAAAACATGGATAAAATTAAAACCCCTAAAACTTAATATTTA